TGGACACACATAGAGTAGATGCTTTGAGCAGTTGTTGGTCTGGTTAACTTTGCATGGCCAGTGGAAATGTGATCCTTGGTCTATTTCTGCAGTTCAGCACGCTTCACAAGAACTCAGGGAGGCAGTCTCCTCACTTCTCTCACACACTCAGGCTTTGCACATTTAATCGGCTGGATGTGGTATGAAGTAGGCCAGTCAGTCATTCTCAAACTTTTCACCCCTAAATACAGAAAATGTTTGGGTTACAGCAGTGCCATGTAAAAACTGGCACAAAACAGAGCTCGCCAAATACATAATAAAGGGTTGCAATGTAAGATTTTAGATGGATTGTCCGAACCCTTCTCCATGGAAATATTGTTGTTTTGAAAGACACGTTCCACAAAATGGCAAATTTGATCATTTCCATGAAGACAAGCAGGTGACCACCCAGCCAAGTACTTTTTTGGCAATACATCTGTAACTGAATAAGTGATAGATTAATACCAGGCTGTGGAACATTCCAGGCATAGCAACAATAAAGAGACAAGCAGGTGGCGGACAATTCCACCAAAAAAGTTACACAGTGAACCTTTAAAACGGAAATACAAGAGCCTAACCACATCCAGACAAAGCCTATCAGGCACTCAAGAAGGTTGAACTCTAGCTAAACCTAAACCATAATTAAACAGCCACCAATTTGAGACTAAATGAGACCTAAAACAGGCTTTACCAAGACTTATCCCTGAACTAATCTACACATGACTTGATTCAAACTGGATAAAATTTCCAAACTCCCCCATCACCTCTTGAGAAGCACCATCTTCCTACTTCACAGTTCTATCTGCTTCCATCATTGGATGCATACAACAGAAAGCTTTGCCTATTTGGCCTCTATAGCTCACTCCCCAATCACCAGGACTTCTCCCCTCCACGGCCAGTCCCCATCATCTTCCTCAAATTACCTGACCTTTGAACCTGGCAGAGGAAATGAAGAAGTACCGTGGGGAAAGCGGATAGTCCATCACGCCAAAGCTACCTGGCACCTCTACCCCACAGAAGTCTTTAAACTGCCGAACATATTGCATTTTCTGGCTCGCTAGGTGAAGGCAAAAGCAGCTCTCCTACATCGGCTGCCAGCTTAACTTCACTAAGTTTTTTTTCCTGCGATATCTGTTGAGTTATGTACACATATCTGCTGTATCCGCCGGCTCAAATGGCAAACTAAATTGAAATCTAGCTAGGCCTATATCCAGTGCTACTTAGTTTAATAAGCACCAAGATAATAGAGCAGGGGCAAATGGGAGTGTGAAATCTCATGGCTCAAATCCTAAAAATTACAAACAAGGCCAAACACTTGTCACTAAATACAGTACAATCATATGTGTTATATTATACAAACGACAGAGCAAGGTATACGCCATGCAGTCAGTGTGCTCAGCTGTTATAGAAGATTTGACAATGCACAATATATTTACATGTAGTGTCTCTTTGCATACAAGTGTGTGTCAGGTAGGTAGCCCTGAGTTACATGTGTCTCTATGTTATGTTATGTTTTGTTATGTTATGTTATGATCCCGGTAGAATTGGTTTGTGCTTTTTTATTTTTATTTTTTTTACAGTTTGATTTTGAATGGGTCAAATGCTGGTCTGAAAAGGAAGCAGGATTGTGGAGGAAAATTAGAGTGCAAAAGTCATCCGCCAAGCAAGTCCAATCTGGCAACAACAGCCATTACTCCTCTAAAAAGATATTGATGTTGCCGTTAACAACAAAGCTCCTAAAAGGGACAAGACTGCGCTGGTTGACTCAAAGATCTTTCAAAATGTCTTACAAACTGAACAACCCAGGTGGAGGATACATATTTTTTCAGTCATGTGAGCGTCCAGTCTCTGAAATACAATGGAATTCAAATGAAAGAGCGCTGGTTCGTGAAGCAGAACTTATTTCCTCCTTCCTCCCATTTTTGCTCTCGCCCGGTAGTGATAATCCTGTTAGAATGGGAACAGCACAGACCTCTCTACACTTCCAAAGTTGTTAAAAAATGTTTCCTTTTTTGCTCTTTGTGAGAAAACAATTTGTCAGAGAGGCACCAGGAGAAAGCAGAGTAGGGGTAAATATGAGCGCTGTAAATATACTAGGTAAATAATAGATAATATATGACTTTTTGAAGGTTGGGTAAACTGAAGACTTTACCAAAAATCAATTGCCAATAATCAACCACCCATTAGGAATGAAGATAAAGCAGAAAGAGATTGCAAATACAAGATATCATTCATGAATAAAGTTATTAAAGAGGGGGTATTAATTAATTGCTAACACATATGATATTTGGATCATCATGTCACTTCTATTGTTTTAGAACCTAATATCTATATAAATGTTTTCTAAGCTTCATGTCCCTTTGCTCCCCATACTAAGTCACTCCCCCTTCAGAGCGATATCAGAACACAATCAGAATCTCGCATCTCACTAATGAAACTACTGCACAATGCATCAGGTTTGTGTACAATTTTCTGTACTGCTTTTATATATTTATTGATAACTGTTGTGTGGGAGCATGGGTGACGTAGGCTTGTGGGCTGATGACATCTAAAATCTTTTCGAGAATGTTTTTGATGAGGTAACAACATTATAATATGGTAGAAATCTAAAATACCCCGTTTAAAGTGTAGTTATTATAAGGTGTTAATTAAAAATGTACCCTTTACCTGTACATTTTAAAATAACTACACTTGAATTAGCCTTAATCAAACATGAACAAAGACTTAATTCAAAATGATTTTATTTAATAACAATTGTTTCTTAAGGCTCAGAAAATAGTTAAGTAAGGGATTAGAGTTATAGGAGTTAGGTTTAGGGGTTAGGCTATTAGTTAATAGTTACTTAGCCTGAATCACTCCTGTTAAACTATTTGTTATGGATAAGTCTTTGTTTATTTATGCTTTATTAAGACTAAATAAAGTACACTTATTATAAAGTGTACATCTCTTTGAATTCAAAATGGCTTCAATGTCAAATTGTAAAACTATATTGTGTTTATAATTAAATGTTTACCACTAAATTCTAATATGATACTGGATAATAAATTATGTTATTGTATACAAAAAATATGACTATTTACTAACTCAAATGTCTTTATACACTACAGGCAGTTTAGAGTGTCAAATTCTCCAAAATATATCTTACTTCGAACCTTGGGGTAACTGAAGTAATTGCTAAGAGATAGATATTGGACTCCGAAAAACTAAATAACAGGCGCTGTGATAAAATTTCGTACATTCCAGCAGTACAGACTACCGCTCAGATTTTGCCATGTTTTTTGCCCAGCACGGAGCACAGGAGGTCAGTGCCCAGGCCCACTGCTTCCCTGAATGGGTCCAGTCTACAGGGAAATGAAAAGGTTGCTCTCTGCGATGTGACTGTCTCTTATTAATGTGGGCCATCTGGACAGACAGGAGCAGGCCAGGCAGGGGCAGGGGGGAAATTAGGAGAGATTCTTTGGCTACGAAAAGAAAACTATCTGTATCTAGACTGTACAAAGATGGTAAGGGCAGAGAGAGAAACCCGGCTTCTTATAAACGAGGCCAACAGATGTGATCAAAATGCTGGCCATAAGAGAACATGGAAGGCGTAGGGATCTGGTTACGTGAAAAGGCCTTAGCACGGGGATAAACTTAACTCAGTGACGCAAGATGACCCCGCCGCTAATTGAGTCATGCAAATTCTAGCTGGTTATATTTCTTATAGGTAAGCAAAGATTGCCAGATTAAATAGAAATATGTGGACTAGAAATTCCCAGAGGTCTAAATGGTTGCTCAGGTTGCATCACTAAGTTGACGAATCAACAAAGTGTATCAAGAGGAGGATAATGTGGCATGGAATAATTTTTACTCATAATATATATATATTTTTTTTACCTTGCTATATTTTAATTATTTTTAATAAGAAAGAAGAGATGTCAATTCAAATGACCGAAAAGATAACGGTAAACAAATGCTGCACAAGGTAGAACACTACAGTATTTCAGAGTGGTTTCAGCTTTTAAGAATGACAAATTAGGAATTAGTTATTAACTAAATAATACATCTTATGAACGGTCAACCATTCTCAAAATGGCACCGTGTAACAGGAAACTAAAACAAATGAACTGCTTAATGTGCATTGTTTATTTACCAATTTAAGCATTTCCAAACTTGATCCATTTAGTGCTGTAAAAAGTAATGGGTCAAACTGGTCTTATCAAACTGGTAGTCTTTATTTTCTACATCTGAAAGTTTTTGTTGTTTTAGCCTTGAAGAGAGAAGATTGTATTAACTGAGTGAGAGCAGTAAATACCGCACTGACATAACATTCCACTTTTTAAACTTGATCCAGACTTCGCCTCTGTGTGTTAAAAATTCCTGGACGTTTCTTCTGGCACAGAGGAACTGGCTGTTTAAACCAAAATGACCTGACTGTGAAGGAAGAATACAGAGGGTGCCCTGCTGAGTCTTTGCCTGTTCATTGGTGAGACTGAAAAGATCTCAGTGCTTAAATGATATACCTGCAGCTCTAACTCATGCTGGTCTAAGTTGAATCCACGCCAGCATAAACACCAGAGATCACCCTAGCTCCCAGATCAAGGTAAACGTGAGAGGAATTGATTGTGCAGACTGCGCTCATGTGTGGACTAAAAAGGGCTGCTATAAAAGACAAACAAAAATGAGAACTATTTTTGAGGTTATGGACAGTTCTGGGACACACTGATTTGCTTTCAGCCAGATAGCTCCTTCTGGGAATAATTAGGAGCATAAAAATGACAAAAGCTGAAGAGTCTGAAACAGGTTATAGTTTTCCCAATATATTGCCTCCGTCCTATTGCTTTAACATCTACATAATACATAAACAAGGCTATATTTATACCAAGTATTCTTTCCTGAGTAATTTCCACAACAGATAATATCCATTCATTAAAATCTATATGTACTGCCTCCCAAATTTAACTTTTCAGTGTTAAAGTAGTCTTTGACATTGCAAAATAATATTATAGCAAAAACATCTTTTAAATAGAAGTGACATGGGGTTTGAGAGCTGTTCACACTCACATTACAGACAAATACATACATTTGACCACTAAAATGAAAAGGTGCCCTACATGGAGCCATGGGGAGTACCAATTTTAAAACTGTAAATCAGTTTCTAAATTGTAAATGTAAATGAATTCACACTCCATTTTCAGTTACATCCCTGCTGCCCGTCCAAACGTTTGTTTCCTTTACTTTCTAAAAATGGATGTACCACAATGGGGCATACTACATATTAGCATATTAGCTTTACTTGTAAATCTCAAAAGACAATATTAGCTTGGCAAAAGGAGCTATAAATTATCCCTTTAAAATCCATAAATTACACGTGAAACACAATGCAAAACATTACCAAGTAGAATAGCTAACTTATTCTTTCCCTGCTCAAGATTACATTAGATTACATTCAAAAGTAGAGTATAGCTTCTCTTTCAGGTCATGCACATTTGAATATGGTCATTGGGTTAAAGCTGGAGCCAGGCTGGTACAGGGCAGTGGGACAGTAGGTGTGTGTTTGCAATACAAGTGACAGTAATGTCTGACAGTGGGCTGTGCTTGTGCTCCTGGAGGTCATGGGCAGAGCGGACCATGGCTCTATATGTGACGATTACTGAGTTAATGGCGGAGACATGGGAGCATATACACGTACACTCAGATATCTGTGACACCAACATGTCTCCTGCCAGCAGTGAGGCTATAGAAAGTGTGCTTTCTGACGGGAAAAGGGAGAGTGCACAGGTGGGGCTGGGCTGTGGACATGAGGAGCGCCTCTGTGCCAGGTTACATGTAAACAAACCCAAGGCCACAGAGAGCATGCTCAGAAAGGCTCAGAAAGACATCAAAGATACAAGAGACATCTGAAGGACACAGAGAAAGAAAGCATTACTGTATGTACTACAACAGTGGAAGAATAGTGGACCAGTGAACACAAAATGAAGCTGGCAAATTTTTAAATCATAGTTGACACAAAATTAATTACCATCAAAATGTATAACTGATGAGGCATATTTTTGTATTTTTTAATTGTAATGACCATTTATGGATTGTTTCATGCAGGTACGTTCTGCATATGTGTAGTAAAACAAACCAAAACATGTGTTCGTGGCAACATTAAGTAACAGTTTTTTGCACACATCTGTCCTTACACAATCTATTGAGAGGTTTTCAGACCCAGGAATCCAAGAACTTAACTCACTCTGGTCCGCTATTCTTCCCTGTGCGTACAAGTCTACATCTAACAGCAGAGGTCGAAAGGGATCACAACGAAAATATTGCATCTCCTAGGACTAGCTTCAATTGCTCAGTGTATATAAAATTGGAAGAAAGCTATATTGTGATATTACAGATACATTTCACTTTATAATCCTAAAATAATTTATAACAACAATAATAAGATTTGATAGCGTATTTACATAAATACATCATATAGTAATATTATTGTTAACACGGCATTATAGAAACATACACCATACATATATGTGTTTATAGTCTGTACTGTATATAGCCACACGTACCACACATACAATGAGTATACAATCAAATGAGATATTGCGATGCTGTGTTGGGTAAAATCCATTAGACATTCACATCTCCTTAATAAGAAGTTCCATGTATTGCTATAAGAAAGACAGAAATCAGTCTGTTAAGGGTTGCAGCAACATTGTACTCCCCATTTCCAAGTATTGCTTCTGGTAAAGTCCGGCCCTCCGACGTGATAATCAGCCCGAGGGAAAACAAAACTCAAAAGCGTCATGGTCAGTAGGTCCGGTTGCTGCCGTTACCGGGCCATGAGTGCGTCCAGCTGGTCAGGTTTAGTCTCAAATGGTTCAGCTGGATTAAAAAGGCGGCCCGCAGTCTGCCAGGCGGGCGAGGAGAGCAGAGGCCAGTCCGCTTCACCCCACAGCAGAGTCTAGAAGTCAGAGAAGAGATCCTGTGGGCCCAGGTGGATGATGAAGGGGGCCAGGGTCCGGGGCTGGTAGAAGGGATTGTCGATGAAGAGGCCGCCTGTAAACACACCACCAAGACGATGTTACAGACTACAGTTTACAGACACAAGAGGAAAAGTGAAAGGTTGCATGAAATTGAGGAGGAATTAGATTTTAACTTTTTTTTTATTGTCAAACATGGTTATATGCATGGATTTGCCTTATGATTCAATCCAAACATTTTCTGATGCAAGGTAGAGGCAATCAGATAATGGCAAGCTCTAATTAGGCAATGAGACCCCTACGGAATCAGCTTAATAACATTGCACATAATGATGTAAGGTTAAGGTACACTTTGTTGTCCCTTTGTTCAGAAATGAGTCCTTCGCATTCAATCCATCATTGATGTGCCGCTAGCACAACTTGTCAGGAGCAACATCTGGGGATCCATCTCCAGATCTTGAGCTAGGCTGGGTCAGGACTACATTAGCTGGGGGACTGTGCTTTTAGGTTGAAGAGAAAAACAGGTGTACCCAGAAGAAACCCACTCAGTAGGCCTGTCACAGTAACAAATTTTGAAGCACAATACATTGCTAAAGAGAAATAATATTATGATAAGAGATAATACTGAAACTACTTTATGCCACTGACACAAAGCACTGTAATGCCATTTTTAAAATAGGCAATATAAGGCATCATTAAAAAGCATGAGCTTTAACAGATAAATGGCATTCATAGAAGAATAGAAGTTATTTATTGTATGCTCTACAGCTCAAATCTTACATTATTACATAAAAATGGCAAACACTCACCACTATTACAAAGAAAAAGTACTCACTGAGCCACTGAGTAAATATTGAGCCCCAAAATATATTGTGCCAGCTTTCATATATTGAACAAGTCAATATAGTACTTATCGTGACAGGCCTACCACCCAGAGAGAGGGAGAACATGCAAATTCCAGACAGGACAGGATCTGAACCGAGGAACTCTCTTCTTAAGTCACTAGCTTAATTTCATTTTCATTTTGAAATAATAGATCACTAGTATCACACATGTACATAGACAACACAAGGCAAATGGTCAAATTGCATTCACCAAATGTTTACCTACACCACATTTGATCACATAACATTGATAATTTAAACATTTAAACAAATGACTTTTGGCTTAAAATTCATTTGTAAGTCCTACTTTTCTGTGAAAGAAATGACAAAAATAGTGTGATGTGCTGACATAAGTGGACAAAAGTTCAAAGTTATGAATTCTGCACATGCTTGGAACAGTTTGATATGTCACACAAAAGCATTATTTTAGGATCAAAATAAATGTCAGATATTATTTTTGTAGAGATATTGAGCCCCATTTTATATCGATCCACAACTTTCAACACACCACACCTGGGATAAGTCATTTAAGCAGAGACATGATGCTGACGGAGTGCAAAATGATAATGGGGGTCTGTGAAGGTTAGACATATTCCTACAGGGACCCAAGAAATCCAGTTGTATTTGGTTTTCAAAAGTCTTCCAAGTCCCAGATAAAATGAGCAATCCTCTTGAGCTGTTGGGAAATGTATTTTTAGATCCTAAACACGTTACAAGAATGGTGCTCAAAACATTATTTTATTGACCAGTGCAGTAGTGGCAGGTTTCCATATTTGGCTAATAGTTTGCATTTAATTAAATAAACATTAGCATACATAACAACACTCATTTAAAGCATTACATTTTCTATGACAATTATTAAGTGGATTCCACTAACAGACATTATGTGCTGTTGACAAAGATTGTATGTAGCGAAAACCAACCAATGGACCAATACTGTAGTTATGCCTCTTATTTGTAACCATGGAGACATCATAAGAAAGTGATGAATGATGTAATGAAGGACAACTCCGTCACGGTAGGCACTGACCTTTCGTAGATACTGATGATGTATTGGTTCCCCATTTTCTGTGTTTATCATTACTATGCAAACTTAACAAAGGGTAATGCAGTTTTCGGTTCATATAAAAACATTTATATTATAATAGCTATAGTATGTGATGTATAATGGAGTGGTATGGTGATGAGATTGTGCAGCTTCAGAATATGACAAATGCTTTAGTCATTTATGATTCCACGCATCTGTCTCCGCACGTTCAAAGCCCAGGGTCACAGGGACACACCACCCAAGAACGTGGGCTGGTTTCTATTAAATATAAGCAGATTCAAATATCTACTGTCAGTTTTATAACCCGGACTGAATGAGTTTTTTAATTGTGGGAAAGCATTGATGAAAAAATATGAAGAATTGTGGTCTTTTTTTTTTCCAGGGTCATCCAAGCAAATCATCTGCCTGCAGTGAATAGCATTGATCTGGCAGAGGTTTTTCATAAGTCCATCCTGATGCAGATGTAACCAGTTAATCTTGGTTTGGAACAGTAACAAAAAAATAAAATGACTTGAATGTATAAGTGTTGTATCAAAGTACATTCAGATGGTCGTATCCTCTATGGGCCTAAGATGAGTGGACTCTGTAAACTGCTCAATGGTGGTAGAGTTACTAAACATTGCCTATATATTCTGTACAATTCACTGGTGACTTGGCTGTATACTAGTACAAGTTCAGGAGTACGTTGTGGCGTATTTTAATTACTGATAATGCGACATACATGTACTGATTTTAAAAGACAGTATATTTGAATTTTAAATTTCATGAATAAATTAATAAACAATTATCAATCATAGCAAAATGAGCCTCACATGTGGGTTGCCAGTTTCATCCAAATCCATTTGGTTTAAACCAAAAAGAACTCTCTGATCTAACTCCTCACTACATAACCCCTCATGAATCAATGTTAGTGCAGCTTCTGCAGCTCAGTAAGTGAATTCTGGAGTCTCTGAGTTTTCACATGAGGCATGACCTGTCCATATACTGAGAATGAGGAAAAACATATGTGTCCTCTAACTGCAAGTTAATGCACTAAGCACCCCAGGTCCAGTGTGATTGTAGAAATTTTTGTGCAGGCTACATACAGTCAAAATAACTATGAATCCAACTGCATTTCAACATGTGAATTGATATTAACATGATATATTCATCTCTGACTAATCAAACCACTTTATCATCTAGCTCCATGTGTCTGAACCTTAGGTGAGATAAAACAGGCAGTATTCAGCGTGTAAAAGACATAGACTTTATTCAAACAAAAATCTATACTTCACACAGCACACAGTAAATATTTTACAGAGATGTGTGTTGTGTGGATATTGCAAAGACGATTCTCTTTAAAGCAAAGAAAAAACACAATATACATATAAGAATGAGGTAACATTTCACAGTTCAATCCTTCAAGTTTAATCTTTTAGGAACTTAAACCTGCAGTAATTCAAATTTCATAAAAGTATTTTCTTTCCTGAACAAATAGAAAAATAAAAACCAAAAAAAAAAAAAAAAAGCTTTTACAAAATCTTTATAGCTCAAGTCCCAAATCCCTTCCCACGATATTGTAGAAAAAACAGGCTGCGATTCCCTTTTGCAAAGTAGCTATACAGTAGGTGCGTTTAGTTCCCCCTTTGCTAAAAGAACTGGAAGTGGGGGACGGGGTAGGCAGGCACTTTCATGACAGGCAACAGAAGCATTCTCTTGGGCAAACCTAGAGGGAGACAATGAGAAGAGCACGCTGCATGAGTCCTGGGCAAAACACTATGTCTATATGATCTCCAAAGTACCCCTTCATATATGCTACAGGTCAGTGCCATCGCAGACAGAGCTCCCAGAAGGGGTGAAGGGGCAGAGGGGAGAGAGAGGTGCCAGAGTGTCAGATCAAAAGCAGGGAGCGTGAACAACGTGGCAACCCTCACCAGCCCAGCACCGCAGAGAGGTAATGAGGAAGACAAACATTTAGCCAGTTAACACCCAGGTCTGAGAGTTTGCTAGTTTGGTTTGATGAGCTATGCTAGGGTAAAGATTGCCCAATAAACAATAACAGTTTTAGTTAATTACTTCTCTCTATTTTGCATGGAAAATTTATCTCTTGGGCATGCGGGTCAAAATAATCCTTAATTGAAACTAACTGAACTGTTTTTGACAAATGTATAAATTAAACAAATATCTATATTGACTTGGGGCAACTTAAAGGACCTATATTATGTTATTTTCTAATCTGTTATAATGTTGTTCACATCATAAACATACCTGAAATTGTGTTTTCTTTCATTCACACATGTTTAACACAGACTTTATATTGAGTTCTTCTCTCAAATGGAAAACTCTCTGATCCACCTTGTGATGTCATGTGGTAATACAGGAAGTGCTCTACTGCATTTTTAAATGCCATTCACCTTCAACTAAAATCATTTGGATGATTTCAACTTGGAATTGTCAATCTCTACTAAACTAAAGGTAAAAGCAGCAGTTAACTTAAAAACTACGGCTTCATGACGTCACAAGGTGGTGCAGAGCATATCTGAGCTTTGGGGATGTAGACAGACTAATAATAAAACATGTGTGAATGCAACAAAACACGACTCCAGACACATAGAATACATTTTGTATCGTATAGGACCTTTAATAGTAATTGTGACATCATTGAACTGTCTCTCATTTTTCACTTGCAATGTGTAGCTGGGCCATAGCAGGACAAATAAGCAGCAGATGAAAATTAATATGTGGTTAAAATGTGGTAGTTTCTTGTAAGCACAAATTTGTCCTATTGCTTATTGAAGACTAATGACTATTAAAACTAGATCTTTGCTAAATCTCCAAAACTTACTACTAAACTATTGCAACACTTTTACACTTGGTCAATGCACTCAGCAGACACATAATATTGTTACAGAAAATGACTAGAGGGCAAAAAGAAAATAAAAATCCTCGTCCCAGGGTCTCTCAGCCACCAAGCTGGAAGGAGCGCTGAATAAATGTCATAACAGCAAGGTCAAAGTTGCTGTGAGGCTGAAATTTCTCTCTCCATAAATGTACTTAGAGTTTCACTTTAATATTTATTATTCCTAAACTTACAAAACCCTGTACTTTCTGGCCATTCACGGGGGTGGACAGTTTGCTACAGTTTATACATACACATTTTTTCTACATTATGTACTATATGTACAACAAATCAGCTAGTAAAATAACCTGATGCCCTTTCCTGAGATTTATCTATTAAAAGTGCATTCTGAATAGCAGTAGCAAGTAACTGTCAATTGTTTAGTTGGAGAACAAGTACGCAGTGAGATTTTGATGGGTCAAGGAACTTTAACAAAACACAACGTTCGAATGTTACTTTAAAAACAACGTGTTCTTCATATCCACATCTCTCAGGGGGGCAGTAAAAATCTACCTGAGGCTACCTTCTACCCGTACATAGAGGCATTCAGTGTCTGTCAATGCTGCTCGTGTACACTGTCCACAAGGCCTGGTCTGTTGAGGTGTCTGCAGGGGGACATGAGGACGTATGGGTTTGACTTTGGACCAATGGCTGAGCTGTATTTTTACCTATAGTCTGACAGGTCACTATAGGCTCTTTACTGCAATGTGCCTGGTGCCCTGGGATACACGTTTCGGATCAAGAACAAAACAGGAGCAGTGCAAAGCTGCCATGCCGCTGTGTCTTACATAAGAGTGGAGCGAAAAAGTGACAGTCGAGTAATCCCAACAGAAAAACAGTTACAACTCTACAACACAGCCACTTTTTATTTTTGTTTTGCCAAAGAATATGAGATCTTAAGGCAGTTTTGGAAAGGGTTAACAAAAGGTGAAGGCGGACAAAGTGTTTTCTTGCCAGCAGTGGTCTGATCAAAAGAGATTAAGAAAATTCAACAAAAGACAAGAGCAGACAATTAGCAAAAGCACAGAAAGATTTGTTTGCACAACAGTAGGCTGCCAAATTCTAAACCCTGATTAGGAGGAGAGGCAAGATTGAATTTATTATCAAAATGCAAACAGCGCTAGAGATGGGAGAGAGAGTGAATCGTGAGTACTAACTGAGGAGGATTAATATGTCTCTGATTTGTGAATGTAGTGGTTGCATGGTTAGCAGCTTTGTGAAAGAGCTGGTGTTAAATAGTATTAGTTGTGACCAGACATACTCACCATAGGCAGGGGCAGCAGCTGCAGCAGGACTGTATCCATACGGAGTTCCAAAACCTGAGGGTCAGAGGTCACACAGTTCATATGCTAGTAAAGCACACACACTGAACATACATTTTACCATAGTGTTTAAGTATTATCTTTCACTGCAGAAAAGGCGTCTGCCATTGCATCACACCGTGGGCTACAGGAGACCTATTTATGATATTTGCTGCTCAAATGAAGCATGACTGTTTCTAACCAGAAACATGAGCCTCCAGACTTGAACACAAATGTTACACAGTGTCTACACGTTCCCAAAAGCATGCGTGTACACATAACACGTAAAACACAGAAGCAGAGATTAAATTAAATAGCATATGAAAAATCCTCAGTATACACTATGCAGTGTGTACCTGGCGTGACATAGCCCGGAGCTGCTGCGCTCACAAAGGCCCCTCTGGCCAGAGCCGCTCGGCCTCGTCCTCTGGCGACCTGCGCTGCCACCGCCGAGGCTGCGGCTGCTGCTGCCAACGCACTCTTGGTCTGGGAATAAACACCCTGAGAAACAGACTGAATATTAATAATCATATAGGAGACACCATTTTGCATACATTCAGCAAGAACATGCAGAAACTGTAACTGCAGTTCCACAGTCATTATGGAGATATAAAGGGTATCGACTACATGCTGAGTGGTGATCTAATGAATGCCACTCATTGATCAGAAAAGACACTTATGCGACACAGTGCATTGATTACTGATGAGTTCCAAAATCCTCCACACAAGTTGAGACTAAAAATCCAATCATGTCAGCCTACATTCCCACCCACAGACTTGCATTACTGTTTACTGTAACAGATACTGTATGTGCATGTAATGCATGTGAGTCTCTCACCTGAGGCAGGATTTTCTTCTTCTTGTTTGCTGCTGCGTTGGGCCCAGAGAACAGTTTTTCCAGAGCTGCTAGAGCAGCACTGGCCTTTGCTACCTTTTTGTTGGGGCCAGCCCCACGAAACTTCTGTCCATCTACCTCCACCTGGAATAAGCAATACAGAAAAATAAAGGTCTGCTTTTCCAATACAGTTGATTGTCTTGTTGTTTACATTATGACTTGGTTAAACTGTCATAGTCACAATATAGTCATTCAAAGCTATTGTATTTAGCAGGAAATCAGCCAGAGTGTGTGAAGAGGACAGCTTGTTTAGCGCCGCCCTGCTGTCAGGCAGAGCTACTAATCAGTCAGCAGAGCACTGGAGCAGGCAGTCATGTCTGAAAACAGCACACCCACAGAGAGGTGGAGACAGCACTCCAGAGCTCCATAATAAGAAGGCATTTCTAATGTTCACCTCCACATATACACTTTCCTTATGCTCCACTATTTGTACATGCTTCAGACCTGAGAGGATTAGTAGCAGCTCAGTCTAAACCAATGTTGAATATGTATTTGTACGGCTCTCACCTCCATCACAAACCGTTTGTCATGGCTGCCTCCGCTCTCCGAGATCAGCTCGTATTTGAGACCTCGCCTCTTTTCGTTCAGCTCCATGACCGGATTCTTCCCACTTGCCGTCAGTATGGGACCCTGAGTTCTCACCTGGGATAAAAGGAAACATACAAATCAATGCACATGAGCATTAGTGTCCCCCCGTCTAAAAAAGCAACTCTAATATTTAATAGCGTGCCTCTCCTCACTTACCTCTAGTGTGTTTGAACTGTCTGAGGAGTGTGTGGGGTTATTGCTTGAATGAGTAGATGACTCGCTCTTCCCCTCTCCGTCTGATTTCTCATCTGAACTCAAGGGGTCCAAGTCTGAGTCAAACCCTGTGGGGTATCCCATTGCTTGAAGAACCTGACATAACATCATAGAAGACATGTTAATTAACACATACATATTTGCAGATATTGTATGTGCATAAAGGTTTTGCCCCAATTATCTCAGTGAACAGAATTCCTTTTTTGGGACTGAAAGGTGAGAGATAACCTAGACCAAAATAAAAATTAACCATGAAGGAGCAAATGTTCAGAGGGTGAGGAAAAGGGAAGAAAGAGAGGCCTATGAGAAAGAGCCTTATATGGGAACGGAGCGGATGGTGGATTATCCCTGCTCTGTGCTCCAGAGAGCCTCACCATCACTTTAGGATTACATGGATTTGACCACCTCCAAACCTGCACCACATACAAACCAAACACACGTATTACCAAAATACAATGGGCATGGGCTCACAAAGTACATATTGGATTGCAGACTAATCTGTAGGAAGCCAAAACCTATTCATTGTGTGATTGTTACATTTTTATACAAGTAAATCTAATCTCATTTTATCAAAATCAAAATCTCTGTGGGTTTCTCAAGTTTCTCTACAGTTTCTCTCATGTTTCGTATATGAATACGTAGGTCACTGAATGTACATGTATATTTTGGAGAAAAATGGCCCGTTCATTGAGTTCGAGTAATGCTCACAAAGTAACTTCACTTCACTTTTGGAAAAATAATTATAAAATGTATTTATCTGGGCTACACGTTTGTGTAAACATACAGTATAATTTTTAGTGCTGTCATTTGATTAAAAAAATTGAGAGATTAATTAATTATGATCTGTAATTAATTAATCTAATTAATCTATTTTTAATCTCACCTAAAAATTGCTGAGAAAAGCTTCAATTTGAGGTATTTTCATTTAAATTCATTATTACATTATTGTGGCAGATCAAAAGACTGATATAGAACAAAAAAAGTGACTTTATAAAGTCATTTATTGTTTAACAAATCTCTCCAAATTGGCTGTTGAGCCCAAGTCTCCATGAATAAGAAACTGTTTGCTGTAAAGTAGCAAAGACGAGGAAATCTGAACATAATAACTTTTGTCTACTTAAAGACAATAAAAAGTCCAGTCTTTCCTTAACCATATTAAAAATATTATTGATAGAGAAATGCTTTCTATATGAGATCACTGGTTTTAGTCCTGGTTTAGACCTGGTTTAGACCTGCTTTAGTCCTACTTTAGTCCTAGTTTAGTCCTGGAATGGGTTAGTCCTGGTTTTAGTCCTGGTGTTAGTTCTGGTTTAGTCCTGGTTTAGACCTGGTTTAGACCTGGTTTTAGTTCTGGTTTAGTCCTGGTTTTAGACCTTGGTTAGACCTGGTTTAGACCTGGTTTTAGACCTTGGTTAGACCTGGTTTAGATCTGGTTTAGACCTGGTTTAGTCCTGGTTTTAGACCTTGGTTTAGTCCTGGTTTTAGACCTTGGTTAGACCTGGTTTAGATCTGGTTTAGACCTGGTTTAGACCTGGTTTAGTCCTGGTTTAGACCTGATTTAGTCCTGGACTGGGTTAGTCCCTGTTTTAGTCTTGGTGTTAGTTCTGGTTTAGAGGCGCACAGGAGGAAGCGCGGTTTACGCAGCGTACGCAAGAAAACACGGTCCACACGCGGCTCACGGGAGCACGTCGGTGTCCGCGCAGTAACTACGGAAGGAAACGTGGTCCGCGCGTTCTCAGGTTAATGACGATGATGAAGGTGTGTGTTTGTGTTTGTGTGTGTTTGTGTGCGTGTCCCCTCATGTGGCAGGTCACTATAGGACAGTAGTGCAGACATCATGAGCCTATGCAAGTTGTTTTCAGGCGATTTTATATTTGTTATTTTCTTTTATATTTCACGTCGGAAGAAGAATTTCCAAGACACGAATGTGTTTTAACCTGTGCACTGCTGACTCTGTTCTACTGGCTCTTCTCGTGCATCGTGCGACTGACGCCGCGAACGTGAATATGACGTTTACTTACGCTGTTACTGCGCGCGTTTTGTGTGGGTTTCCGGCAATGAGTGGAATTATAAATGTGTTTTTATTTTGTGTGTTGTTGTCCCAACAACACATAAAAACAGGTTTTATAATAAAGCAACTCGCATACAGAAACACTAAAGTTAGAGATTAAAAATGAGATTAACGCGATTAAAAAACATAACGCGCTAAATATGACTATAATTAATTAATCGCAATTAACGCGATAATTTGACACCCCTAATAATTTTAGCCTGTGAAAGAAAAAGCTTTTCTTTTCTAATGCACATTCACAGTCTCATGCACTTAGGGCAAACAGGGAATGGTACATGGGCACACAAGAGACAGTTTTGATGGTGAATATTGGCTAAAGAATGATCCTGATATTATATCCCTCTCATATATCACATATAACACCAATATATTGAACAACCCTTATTGGTAATTTGGAGGCATTTCAAAGTGATAAGTGATTGGTCCATCTGATACGTCTGATCTGATACATTTGAATGGATATTAGATTTTGTAGTTATTGCATACAGTTCAGCTCCTTAACATTTGCATGCAAATGTCTATATTATTTAAAAATAGGGCATTTTCCATGCTTACTTTTACGGCGACATGGAGCTTGGCAGTCTTCTTGGAAGAGCCTGAGGCCTCATAGATGGTTCCGTCCAGGTCCACAGACATGGTGAAGACCGGAGCGTGAACCGGGCCCGACTGGGACAGCAGACGGTACTGCAGCCCCGGCCGGATCTGGTTCAAGCGCATCAGGGCATTCATTGGCTGGTTGGAGTCTATGGCTTTGCTGTCCAGGACTGAGAGAAGAATGAGAGGTGTGTGTGGTTATGGCACAAAGGCAGATTACATTACAATAGATTTTAAAACAGGGTTCTTCGAGGCTGTAGCAATTATCTTGCTGAAATGGGACAGATTGAACCAATTTGGGGATACTGCTGGTAATATATCATATTTTCAAGCCACTAAAGTAGGTTATTTTGTGATAAATAAAGGTGCCATTTTTCTCTCTCTCCTTCACTTTGCTCTATTTTACCAATATCTAAAAATGCCTCTCCGCTTCCATTAGCAGAGGCTCAACTTTGTCTGTTTGAAGAAAGAGCTGGTGAAGGTTGGGTGGCCTACTAAAACGTTTGGAATCAATACTATTGATCCTCCTCTAAGGGATGAAGGGAAGGTAAAAGAGAGAGGCAAACAAGAAGAAACAAATGGGGACGAGGACCAGGAACGTGGCTAGTTTGTGGACAGTCGAGGCCAATCATTTGCACATATAACAGCGACAAAACAATCAGTGCACTGGAGTTTCTACCTTTCCGCAGGTTTCTCTTCATCTTCTTGATGAGGTCCTTGTCATCCATCATACTGTCCTCAAAGGGCCTCTTCAGCCCTAAACCTGCACAGACACGTGACAGACACAGTGGCTAATCAGTGGCTCCAGGAGGTGTGCCTCGACAAAGTCGCACTCATGCATGACAGAACAACAATGTTGTACTAAACACACAAGCGGCTTGAAGATGGATAACGCACAGGGGAGATAAACAGCAGACATACAGCTCACAGCTGAACAAGGCCAAGACATACAAGACACAAATCCTAATTGATTCTGATTACACGTAGTAAATTTCTGTGTCAATAACTTTCAGGATTTTTAGAAAAATGAGAGTCTGCAAAATCTGTACAACTAATCATATTCCTTAAATCCTTTTCTAATAGTCCAATCAAATCTGTTATGTACCTAGCATGTTCTGCTCTGTTCATTTTGTACTTGTATTGCTTTACACAGTGTTTCACCTTGGCTTGCAAATACATTTTGTCATCCTAAAATAGCTTTCGACAGATCTGCCACTGCTACTTTGCAGAAAAAGCACACATAATAAATCTTGAAAGGTCATGTAATCTGTCTAAATGTTTCATGTGCACCTTGTATTGGCAGCTTTGACTTTTATACTACACACATGGGCAGAAAACTGCACATGCTAAAGTTGTTGTGATAAGGAGACAGAGAGACAGTTTGAAAACCACTGGAGATAAACAAAGAGGAGGAAACAGAAGACAGCTGCACTGACAAACACGTGGGAGTTTTGGACAGATAGGTGGACAGTTACGCACCTTCTTTATCTGACCAGGGGAACTTCTGTAAGGGCTTGTTGTTCGGAAGAGGATCCATCTCCAGAACTTTGTAGATTTGCCCAAAAGCCATAAGCCTGAGAGCATGCTGCAATTAAGAAGAAAAACAAATGCAAACAATTAAGATAAGACAGAAAAGAATAAGCAGAGTTCAGTTTTAATAAACTACAAATTGTTTCATGTTATTGTTAAAGGCCAAGTCATTCATTTGAAAAATGAATCTCAAATTTAATAGGTCTTAATGACATTAGCAGACATACAGAACCGTTTTGTTTATTTACAAAGCCTGATCTTGACAAGCTGAGGTGCGAGGTGGCTGTCCTAATATAAATCCATTAGGGAGGAGGAGTGTCTCAGACATTCATGAGTGGCGCTGTAGCTCATTGACAGAACAGCTCTGCTCCCCTATCTGCTCTTGTATCTGCTCCAATACAATTATCCCCATTGACATTCCAGCCTCGTCCTGCCTGCCTTCAAAGGAAATGGACGGCAGGATCCACTAAGCCATGCGGCTCAGAGGCTGCCCTGTTCACTCGACTGTGCATCTGTGTGCGTGCATGTGTGTGTCCATGTGTGTGCACATGTGTGTGGGAGTGGGTATGACGACAACACACACACTCCAGCACTGTCCTCCGGGCGTCAGAAATGGATTTATGGCTCACATTGGCAATAGTTTCTCACACTAATCATTAAAATTCAGAGCAGCGTGGCAGTTAAGATGCTTCCTGGGATGTGTGAGTGTACGGCACAGCGATGGGGCTATCTGTCTGGTAATAGGAGCGTTGCTTGCTGATCCCCGCACACTGACAGCTCTGGTGCGTGGAGCAGCTGATAACAGTGTACTTAAGAGTGAGTGGTGTGTACCTGTGCGCTGTAGGTGATGGCCTCCGCCTGCTGGTCAGTCATGTGGGCCAGAGTGTTTGTGGGCTCCTTCTCACAGGGGTCGTGTAAGCCGGGGCCACCTACACAAGTGCCACAGAAATACATACAACTTCAGGTCAAACAGGGTCAGTATCGTACAAATTAACTTACACATTATTTTATAGTAAACAAATTAGTCTTCTGTTTATTCTAATTAGCAGCTAAAGCAGAACTTACACAGGTCCATGCAAGATGGTGCCAAATGTTGTGTTAATAATTCAAGTAGTCAAAGAGGCCAAAGACGTTTATTCACAATCAGTATGGCTCGTAAACATCTCAGCACATTGTGGCAAACTGACAATTTAAATCTGATGAAAAGTAAAAGCAGTTGTGCATCATATTTATAAGTGTGTAAGATATGAAAAGTCAAAACATAAGACATCTAACCTCTGATGGTGTGACCGAAAAAGGGCAATTTCATTCTCTTACACCAACTAATCATTACCTTATGCATTTTTGAGTTTCCCATTCACCTAACACATGGATGTTTTTAGAAAGAGCCTGACATTTTAGCTTGGTTTAAGTAATAATTCCTTTACAATGCAGCTTGTGTTGTGACCTTGAATGAAAGTAGTATGTAAATGTGTGGGGCAAAGTGAGCCGTGCAATATAATCTACACTGCGGCAAATTCAGGAAAAGGTTATATAGAACTCTGCATGTTAGGGCTATACAATTAACCAGTTGTTGAGGTAATTGGTTTGTAACATATTTCTTGCATTAACTTCGTTGGACTACAGTTTTTTGCTGTTTATGAGTAACATTTAATGATGCACAAGAGCCATAATTAAGGTGCTTTGAAATGGATGGTCATGACCTGCTATAAAAAGTCATGGCTTATTGGTAATTTCTCAACCTATTAAGAGGAAAAAATACACTTGGAAATATCCTGAGCGCAGTCTAAATGAATCTGCTGCGTTGTCCAATTATCGCTTGTTTACACTCTCCCAAGTCAGTACGTGTGCCAAGAATGCAAATGCTGCCACATATGCTGCTCGACCACTTTCTTAGCTACCTCCAGCTGTCCATTATGCATCCTTTTGGATCATAGGCTCTTACCTGGCAGCAGGATGCCTGAGGCCAGGCACTCCATGACGCGACGCAGTGCTTCTCCGGCCCCCAGAGGCCTATTACAGGTCGCTATGGCCTTCTCACAAATAAGCTCCAAGGGCTGTGGGCACACAAACACACCAAGGATACCAATGTGAAAAACTCTGCCACCATAATATAGAAAACAAGTTTGTACCACTTTATAAAAACTGCACTCCTGAAGCCTGAACAAAGATTTAATTCATAATGGGCAAACTGTTTATGAACAATGATTCAGGCTTAATGACTACTTAATTAAGGGGTTACCAGCTAGGTTTAGGGTTTTAAGTAGTTACTAACCCTGAATCATGCTGAATATACAGTCAATTATTAATTAATTAAGATGTTAACAATAATAACGTGTTACCAAAAGAAATTCATATTTATAGAGTCTCACTTTGCTACTGCAAAAAGTCTCCAAGGGCACAGCAATCAGTAGTAAATTATAAAACTTTGGGTTTAAAGGTTCTATATTATGCAATATTATGCATATTATAATGCTGTTACGTCCTCAAATGGAATTGTGCTTTACTTCATTCACACATAATCCTATTTTATTATTCTGTCTACATCGCCAAAGCTCAAAATGCTCTGTTCTACTTTATGATGTCATGGAGTGGTAGTTTTCAAGTTAACAGCTACCTTTTACCTTTAGTTCAGTAGAGATCAGCAATTCCAAGATGAAATCATCCAAATGATTCTAGTGAAGACGTCTGGAGCTTAAATACACAGTGGAGCACTTCCTGTATTGCCATATGGCATAATAAGGTGGAACGGAGTGTTTTCAGTTTGACAGAAGAACTCCAACTAAATATGCAGAGTTTGTGTGTTAAACATGTGTGAATGTGACAAAACACAACTCCAGGGATGTTTCTGATGAGGAAAATCACTATAACAGTGATCAGAAAAGAGCATAATATGGAACCTTTAAGTAGGATTTATTTTTGCTTCCAGTTTACAGCATTTATAGAGTATATCTATTAAATTATTGTTTATGAGGTCCAGAAAGAAATATCTGTCACAAATAAATGAAGACACAAATAGACACAAGACACAAGAAAATGTAATTGTACTGTCTATAGGATTAAGACTCTCTTGCAGGTAATTACAGAGAACTTACCCATCCCTTGAGAGGTTCCCAAGCAGGATGTCTATTGCACATGTCCCTAAGTATCCTGAGAACTATAACGCAGGACTTGAGCCCGTTCACTCGAGCCTGAGAGAGGGGAAGATAAAGACAAGATTAAATCCAGCGCAAGACGGTAAACTGAGCAGAGTGAAAAAGAAACAGCATTTGTGCAAACACATACAGATAACAGCCTGCTTTACACCACAAAGCCACAGTTGTAATGAAGTGATTTGAGCTGTCTACCACTTCCCTCAGAAAACTGGATAGATTTTTTTATCATCATCTTATTTCTCTCTTGACTGACAAAGGCCTATTTTTTGGCTATGTATATGCGTATGTTTTTTGTAAGTAAGGTAAGTGCACTGCGGACAGATGGGAAAGGGGGGATGGTTGGAGGGAATAGGGGAAGCAATGACATACTGTACAGAGCAGGCAGGTTCACATAATAGGCAAAAAGAAAAATGAATATCAACCATTGCTTTTGTAGCCTTACGATATGACAGTAACATAAATCAAATATGTTTTGATCCAGTGAGTAGCACGTGCTTGCATTATTAGGGTCATATATAGGTTGTAGATATATTAACTGTCCATTACAGAATTAACTGTCCTAGCTACATTCGTCAGGCTACAAGAAGCATCAGGCATTGAAGACAGGAAGTGAGTGGGTGCCGACCTGGAACCACTTGGCGTGTCGCAGCGCTGCCAGGGCCAGCAGACATCTGTGTCTATCCAGCACCTCCCCCTCCTCCTCCTCAGCCTCCACTCTGAGCGCAGCAGCCCCAAACACTGCCACAAAACAATAACAACCCAATATAGAGTAGGTGAAACGCACACGTCCGCTCAGACAGTCAGACGGTGTGTGTTTTTAAATGGTGTGTGTATATGTAGGCACGCACACATGAAGTTGGCGTGTGGATGCGCACATACACACACACATGCATGGATATCTGGTACATACAAGGTGCTTTTCATGCCATAAAGTTGCCCCCCTCGCCTGGTCGAAAGTGCGTACTCTACAATGTGTGATGAATGCTTAGAAAGGTTGCCTCGCATTTTTATGGAGTGCCATTTTCAACGGCGTGATCAATCTTGGGCCAGTTAAGTGCGGTACCCCGTCACATCCTCTGTACAAGGTAAAACAGGATGCACTGTACTTTCGTGCGCATTGATGTGTTGAAAATAACCGACATTACTCAGCCCGGATTTTGCCTGTTCTCATCCATCTAACCAGCGCCAAGTCAGTCAGTGAACGGGAGGAACCTGGATCACGAGGTGAGAGACAACTTTGTGGGAGGAAGAGCACCCCACAGACATACACCAAACAAATACTAAAAGAGTGCTTGATTTACACAGATGCGGGTGCAGCCGAGACACAGCCCAGTGCAGTAAATCAATCCCCTCTTTATGTATTTGAAGAGGATTCAGTTATTTTGATCCAGTCTTCGCCAGGCAGGAGTCAAAATATGAGTTTGCTGTTCAGAGGGATTACTTAAGGTGCACTTGATTTCGCTTGTGAAGAGATGGTGCAGCAGCGAGTAATTCAAAAACACAGAATCAAGCGCTCCTAAAGTAGAACTGAAAAAGAAGGAGAAGTCTACGAGAGTTTGGCCCAAGTCTGAGACAAACACAAGACAGGAGGGGTCAAGGCACTGTTTAGTCATAGCATCGTGTTTTTGTGTATATATGTAAGTTTGAATCATGCCCCCCAGACACAACCAACTGGATCAAATCACTATGGCTATGTAAAGAGCACCGAATACAACACATAGTAAATGAATGAGTGTGTGGTTACGGAGTGGTTCTCAAATGAATATTCTAGACATTCAGCAGCTAAAGAAAAGCTGTTTTTCTGATTAACATGATCACCTTGAACACAACTTAAATACCACACTGGAGAATCAAACCTGTGACCACAGTTATGAAATTCGATTTGCTTTTGTGCTACTCATCTCATGCCATTGTTGTCAATATATGCTAAATAAGTAAATAAATTCTATCATTGATCAACAGCCAGACCTTGAAGCAGTAGAACCTAAATCTTCCATTATCCCTGAACCCCGCTTGCTATTGCTGCAGTGCATTCGCCATTATAATACATGTTTCTAGGTGACAGTAAATCTCAAGGTCTATGGAGGGTCCCAGCTGTGTGTGGGACCTGCTACTATAGTGGGTCATTATAGTCCTCGCGCTGTCTCTCTCCATGGCGTCAGCGGCCACTCTCTCACTCTGCGGGTCCTTTATCATTATCTGCTTTGTGTTGCAGATAGCATCTTATCATTTAGGCTCATCAGAAAAATCCCCACTATCAAGTCTCTCATAATGTACTGCTGCACTGCTGTGCTCTTCTGTGAGCGCAACAGTCAAAAGTGTCTGTGTCTACTCTTTTGCATACTGGACTAAATTAACATTTCAACTGTGATTCATGTATTGAACTATACACATCTGAAATACCTACACAGACAAACAAGTCCATGATAACATTATTACTTTGTTGTGAAAAGTACTTAAATGTACACTACTTAACATTTCTGGTGTAGGGTGTTTTTTCCATAGAGACTGATTTGCTTGGTATGTTCCACAATATGGCATAAAACCAATATATCTTCAGTAGGGGTGTAACAATATCCAAGTCTCATGATATTGTCATGGTATGAACCTCACGGTACAATATTTATTGAGATATCATGTGAAAGCTCACGATATGTTGGGGAGGCTCATGATTAGGGATATAACAATATCTAAATCTCCCGGTACGATATTTTTACGATATACATCTCACGGTATGATATTTATTGAGATTTTTTGTGGAGGCTAAACAGCTAAACTGTTAATATGCTACTTTTTCCTCTTAAAATGCCTTGACAAGATATAATACAAAGAACTAAGACTTAAAAGTTCTTCATGTAATCTGCACTGAAATGGAGCAAATGTTCATGGTTTATGTAGTTCCCTCTGTCTTCTTTTTAGCTATTTCTGCACCATAACTCTTCATTTAAGCAAAGAGACTATTGTGATGGTCCACGATATTATTGTGAGAACTTTAACAATACGATATCATGATATTCCAATTATTGTTACATCCCTAATCTTCAGGTGTTTTTATTTTTTAAATATCTTGAAAGACGTGAATTCTTATTGTCAGCAGAGTCTACAGAACTGTCCTGTAACCTGGCCAGGTGGTTTCTCCATGGAGATAGAGAAGTTTAATACCATACTGTGGAATATTCCAGACAAAGCAATATAAAGCATCTCTATGGATATAAGGAGAAGCCTTTAAAGTACCATACATACAGATCTTCAGAGTTTAAAGAGCATCTTCTCCACAAATATCAGCCTTGATCGCCAATTCATAGACATGTCATTTAGGTATGTAATCCTTTAAATATGGATTACTATACAATGTACTTGGGCATGAAAAGTGTTTAACTGGTGGGGTAGCAGCACATCGATAAGAAATAAAGATTTACGACAGCTTTGATTTGAAGGACTCTCATAAACAGGATGACATGCATTGATTTTTCAGGTGTTTAATTTAGCGCCTCTACTTCCATGAAATATCATACAATATTTTTGAGAATTATTTATAATGATTACAACAACATCATAAAATACACTTTAATTATTGCCATAGTTGTATTTGCATGTCAATCGGAGTGTTTTAAGATAATATGGCTTCCTTCCTGGGACTTAACTACCCGAGACAAAGTACCTCTCCATCTCCTCCTGGGCTAATGAATTCTGAGCAATTAGATGGTTACCGCAGTGTGACTGCTATCTTTATTCGTCACTTACAAAATATGGCTGTGTGAATTTCTTCTGCTTGGGGCTGTGCATGTCTCTCGGGTCGGGGAATATATGAGCAGTCATCCTCATCTCGGCGAGGTGTTTGGCGTGATGTACGGCTAACCTTCATGCTATTGCTCATCGCAGTTTGAGCCCTGAGTGTCTATGTGGGGAAGGGGCTGCAGGATGGATGGGCAGCTGGCTACTGCTTGGTTATTGATTCGGTTAAGGCTGCCTGCTAGCCACACTTCTCCATAGCATCAACAACAACCAATTATCACAAGGCCAACCAACAGGGACAGGAGGTTGGAGGCAAAACTAGTTATGAGAATGTTATTTAAGGTTATTACACCTAACTGTTTTTTTGTTGTTGCATCACATGAGTTATTGACCAATCAACCACAAGCTATAAAAGCAAAGACTACGCAACATTAGTGAAGCTGCAATATTTCTAAAAGTTCTCACACTACCTAGACTTGTTTAATAGGCTATCAAAAGTTTAAGCTCAATCATTACAAAATAGTTTATCACAATGAAAGATGCATTATGTTACTTTTCTGGTCTGCCACATTCATGTCTCCAAGGAGATATTATTCAGATGCTTGGAATGTTCCACAGTATGGCATTTAATGTCTCTTTTTTTTAAGGAAACAAGGAGTTGATTCCACAAGGCCAGATCAGATCTATGAAGGCAACCCCAATCAGTAAGAATACACTTTTTTGTGCAGGTATTTTTGTGCAGTAAAGACACCTGATTGAATAAATGCAAGGTGGATACATTTAATGCCATATTGTGTGACATTTCAGGCAAACCAGTAATATTTCCACAGACACAAGGAGGTTGAGGACGCCCCACAACAGAAGTTAGTGCAACTTTAAGAAGTATAGGGGAGAGAAATAATATACTGTACATGTGTGGCACGGTGACTAACTCAAGATAGTTTATGTAGCTGAGTGTCCATACCTAGGCCATTGTTCATGTCCGGCTGATCCTCTTCCTCCTGCACAGCCTCCTCTTCCACCCTCACTCCTTCCTCTCCCTCCTCCGCCTCCTCTTCTTCCTCCACCTCCTCCTCTTCCTCCTCTAGCTCTTCATCATCCAGGTCGTCTCTCATGGCAGGCGAGGTGAGCGTGATCTTCAGATTGAGTTTGGGATCTGTCGTCGTTTGTACCAAGATGGCGGCCTCGGGCAAACAGCTTGTGACCTCATATTTCTCTTCTGTCAGCTTCTGCAGTGTGTCAAACAGACAGCAGTGATGGTCAGGGGACAAGGACCGGACACAGGAAAGATCAACCCTGTGCTACAACCTGTGTTACAACCTAATATTGTTTCTTCATCACAAACATACCTGGAGTTGTGTTTTGTTTCATTTACTCATGTTTAACACATCTGAAACTGAAAACACTCTCTTCCACCTTGTGATGTCATGTAGTAATACAGGAAGTGCACAAATGTGTTTTTAAACTACATATGCCTTCACTAGAATCATTTGGATAATTTCAGCCCTGGAACTACCAGTCTCTACTAAACTAAACGTAAAAGGTGAGCTGTTAGCTTCAAAACTGCAGAATAATAAACCACAGTTACTCAAACATTTGTGAATAAAACAAAACGTGACTATTTCTGAGGAGATTCTAACATGGCTTAAAGATCACAAGAGTCAGTTCTGTGTAATGTAAGACATTTAACATTCTTGCACCGTTTGTGAAAATAGATATGAATTTTCAGCACACATTTGATCAAGCAGTCCAATATCCAGTAGTAAAATTCTGATTGATTATATGGCACAGCTTTTTATTAGGGATAGAATTTGTTAAACGTTTATAGCGAGTAAAATATCAGTAGTCTTATTTCATCTCATATTACTTAAGGCAATATCAGTTAGGTTCAAATGAGACATGTTGACACCATTTAGGAGCTCTATAAACAAACTTTATTGTGAGAATATTTGTGATGCTGCCCAAGTAAGCAGTGAGCAGTGAACAGTGTCTGCGTTCACTTTGACTCTGATGAGAAAATCGGACTGTGGTCACTGGGTTGAGATAGAGGAGATTACTCCTGCCCACACTCCAGACCAAACACAAGGCTGTATTCCAGCTCTGTGCACCACTTAGCTGCTAACACACACACACACATTAATTACTAATTTTACTAAAAACATTGACAAAGATGGAGTACATTTTTTATACCAGTGGTTGAAATAAATACTAAATATCACCTGTGTTTGTATATTTACTTGGTGTTTGTTTTTATGTTAGATGTTCCAGATCTTCCAAATGTATCCATGCTAGGAATGAATATAAAACAAGTTATCGAGATTGTGTCAACAATGTTAAATATTACCAACCCCAGATCAAATTCTGTGTCTTAAATTTTTTGGTTGGGATGCACTGATCCAGCTTTTACAGTTCTGACACCGATTTTGATACTAGCTTTAAATATCTGCAAATATCGGCTGATATCAGTATAGGAACTGAAAACAGCATTTATTTCCTTTAAACTAAACTAAAATAAGACAAGACTTCTCCAATGTTTTCTGTATCTGTTATTTATCCCTCAAGTATCTACTAAACAGCTTTGTATAAATAAAAGTTTAAACATCATGAGACTTTCTGGTCCAACTGCAACTTGAAAATAGTCTTATTACATTAATTTATCGGTCTAACCAGGATATCAGATATTTGATCCAGCAAACTTTTCAGTATAGCGATGATATCCAATACAAGTTTTGGATCAGTGCATCCCTACTTTCTTGTCATTAAGTTAATACATTTTCAGTATATTGCTTTTATTGAATAGTGAAAGATTTATAAATGCAGAATTATCAACAATTCAGAACTTTGAAAATAAATTCTTCATTTATTAACCATGCTTTATACACCATAATAAATAATATTCCCTCTGTTCTCTTTGTATGTTTTGTACATGTGTGTGTGTGCATGCACGCGCGTGTGAGTGCAAAAATGACAGCTTCACTTAATGCTGTGACTTGTTAATGAAGAAACTCTACACTGATGTGGTGACGAGAGCGGTAATCACACATGACTCATCCATAATAGAACAGCTCCCAAGAACCCACTTAATGATATTACGACTAGCCTTCCTCTCCTTATGCAAACACTATCAGTATCCAGCTTTACACTTCTATCATTATACCTTCTAATTGAATTGTTATGAATTAAAATACATAGTAAGGTAAGAGCTGATAAGAGGGTGGAAATGGAAATGTCAGAAAGACTTTCTTCTGGAACCTTGCAGGTAGTCTTCCATGCGTGTAATAAAGGAGGTGAGTAGGAATGTCCATTAATTTCAAACAGCAGTTATTGATAACTGTTCACTCTTAGTTTTTGTGTATCTACATTTAGCCACAGTATCTGTATATTGCAGATTAATTGATATGTTTCTGTTTTTGTCACTGGCCTCACACAGACATTGAGGATGCATTTACACTTTTCCTGGTTTAGACCTGGTTTGAACCTGATTAGTTTGGACCTGTTCTAGTCCTGGTTTAGTCCTAGTCTAGGTCATGTTTCATTCCAATTTTAGTCTCACCTTCGATATGGTGGGTGGGTATTTAATACACTGTGGGGAGTAAAATCAGTATATACATAGACTTGCAACAAGGGTACCTGCGTGCAATGTTTAAGGGGGCAAAAATCTGCTTTCCACATTGTAAATTCTTTAATATTAGATCAACACCACAATTTAAAGTTCTACCATAGGTTAAAATAGGTTAAGGTTAAAGTTTAGGTTAAGGACAGGCAAGTAGTGTCTATGATTAAGATGAGTCTCCAGGAAATGAATGTCAATTAAATAAGTAAAATATAACCATGTGGCACTGTATTCAAAAACAAACTGCAGTCCTGATTCTTTACATGTGCACTAGCTCCAGACTCCTATACATGCCCTGAACCTGGTGTACGAGAGGCAGGTGTGTCTAACCTGAATCTGAGCGGGTAAACTGTGACAGACAGTGTCCAGCAGAGTCTGTGTGGGTTTGTCTCGGCACATCAGCACTAGCTCCAGCTCCATGTCTCCTTTGATCAGCAGGCCTTTAGCCACCAGGCCGATCCTCATCACACCACACAGCACGCCTCCGCCACCACTGGGCTCCCTGCAGATAACACACACACAGACAAAACAAGGAACTTTAACAACTTTTAGCTGCCATTACACACCAGAGCTGGTTTCTTCACACCTCCGGAAGAACATGGTGATCCGGCTTCTACTCTTCAAAATATTATTATTATTTAAGTTATTTTTAAAACCAGGCTGCCAGAATTGTTTGTGTTATATTGTTAAAATGTATGTATTTTTAAAGCCTATATTGTTGGTCTAAAATACAGCAATTTCCCTATGATTGGAAAGGTAAATGGTTTTCTTTGCCTGGAAGGCTTCCCAAGTCTTGCATTTATTTTGTCGCTCTATACAATACTAAACCTGGTCATCTACTCAAAATTCAAATCTATAAACTGCATGCCTTGTTAATGCTTATTCACTCAAACATGAAAGCTTTAGAGCTCCTTTAATAGCGACCTACTAGGAAGTAGTTGTAGTCAAACCAACTATTCTAAAATGATAGACATTTCTTTGTGCTGAATTTGGGAAAACTTAATTTTAGTGCTCATCTCAGAAACATGTCTTGAGGCTAACAAGTTAGAAATGGGAAGTTATTATCTTTTTAAAGAGTTATATTTACATATTCCTGTGAAAAATAATTAATGTAATGTGCACAGAATCTTAAATTATGTTAAACCTCACAGAGACACTCAAATTAACACTAAAAATACAAAATACATTCTAACAGGGTATTGAAAAGGCCCATTGTAAAGTATCAGTTCCACTGATAAATATATGAAATAAAAAGAGATAGCCAATTCCGTTCAGTCAGAGATTAAAACTGAACCAGAATCAAATAGCTGATGTTTTTAGTAACTTTATTCTTATATGCACACATCAGACACCTTCAAAATATCACACACCTGTATCCTTCAGCAGGTTCCTCCGTCTCATCTCTCGCCTCGTCACTTGGCTCTGCCTCTTCTTGCTCTGTGCTTTCTGCTGGTTGGCTGTCCACCTGGTTGTACACTTCCCCATTGCCGTTGCTCTGGTCCAGCCAATCAGAGACGTGCTTGAGGGCGCATTCCACTGTGGACACTAGCGTCTGCACGGCCTCCAGCTCAGCAGAGGAGGGGTAGATGGTCGAGTGCTTGGCCATGACGTGGCGGTCATCGTTACTGAAGGAACGAAAGGACCTCTGCAAACACAATCAGGGAGTGGGTTATAGAGAAATTCAGGGTTGCCTTGTTAGCAGATTGTTATGCCTTGTGAGTACACATTATAAAAAAAAAAAATCTCTGACTTTCCAGTGTTGGGAAAAACGTCTGTCCAGCAGTCAAGAAGAGATCTGACGCACTTTGAGTATGAAAAATTAAAAGTTCTTTATTACAGCATGGATAGCAACTACCTTAACTCACTGATGGACTATTTCCACTTTTTTTTTTTTAGTTTATGTATAGTCAATAGTTTATGTCTGGTTGGAAATCATACATTTGAGACTGTGCTTAAGGAAACATAGAGGACAATCAGCTGCAGTGCATGTGTAATTACAATATTCCAAAATTAATAATATTACCAAAACAAACAATACATCAGACCCATTTTCCAGTCTGATGATATACCATTCCAGGGCTACCAATAATTGTCTCTACATATCTCAATCAAGTTACTACTATTTCCTAAGCAGATATATTTCTTACGTCACTGGTTGTTTTTATGAAATTGTTCAGCACATGTTTTCCGACTGTCTGGTGACTTTGTGGATATTTGTTTATAAATTGAATAGATATTTGAGAAATGAAGCGGAAGGTTTCAAAGTGGCCTTACAGTGCCAACAGATTGATTTTGATGCTGCAAGTGCACAGGCAATTTATCAGGGTTGGATTTCAATATAACTCAAGGATTTACCATTGAGCCTTCTGAATCAACAGACACCAGTCGGAACAGCCACTAGTATTTTCCAAATTCTACTATCAAAGACTGTGTGCATGAATATTTAATGGAAAAAACTGAAATGAGTTTAAGCTACGTTCACCATTCGCATATTCCAACAGATATGAACTGGCATGTAGGTAGGAAAGGGGTGACACATGGGTGATATGAGTTTGTTTACTTTCAAAACCTGCACAGAGCATTTTTAAATTATGAAAAGCGTAACATCTAATTATTTCTTTAAACCAAGAGGAAACACTGTCACTGTTTGGTTTTAGCTCCAAAATAGATCAAAAACACACATTTGCAACTGCCAAAACAAACAATTTTGGTTGAAAAAAGGCTCCATGACAAGCATTTAGACATATATTTGCATTTTTGTTCTCACATTTTTAAACCTTTTGATGCCAAATATAATCCAACCGAGCATAAACAGATTCTCTGGTGAAAACAGAGACCTCCCCTGTCAGCTGCTCAGTGTAGCGTATGTACAAAAAAGCTTTCTGTGTGCCTTGAGAAGAGGGCATGTCTCTTAAATGGAAGGGAATCAATTTTTAACTGGCAGATTCCATTTAGCAACGCTGACCCAAACACATGCATGGACGGACACATATGTGCACCCAGCTTCTCCACTCTCATCCTTTCATCCAATCTACCTGCCCTAATTCTGGCACTCCAACTCTGGGAATACATGCCCACTACTTTCTCCAATTCTCCCTTTTACTCTAGCGTGGAGAGAAAAACTAGGGAGCCGGATCTCAGGTGGGCTGCATCAAATGAGGCTACAGCCTGGAGGACGGTAAAAAGGGAGCGAAGAAAGCGGGGGATAAAAGGACACAGATGAGGGCTGAAGGAGAGGAGAGCCTTGAGTGGTATTAAGAAGAACGGAGAGACGAGGAGAGGAGGAGGAGCAGGTGTAGCCCAGGTCTCTTCACCATACAATCTGCAATTAATACTCCTCGCAGATGGGCCTGGGACATCTGCTGGCTTAGTGAGAGTCAAACTTTGTTGTAAGAGCGGGCAATATGCCAATACTGATAATACCAAGTTAGAAATAATATTCAAACTAGAGCTGCGCAGTATTAGAACAAGGCAATGCTATGATATAGAAACACATTATAAAACAATATAATCCAAAATATTTAAAACACAATCTTCTGATTTCTAATTCAACCGAAACCAGTCTGACAAATTATCAGACTGCTGCGAGCTGTCTGCACTTTATAATTAAGTATTTCATTGATCACAGACCTGGTACAAAGAGCTGTAAGCGTGGCTAGCATTGATTGGTCCACTCTGCTTCATTTCACTGTCTGAAAAAGTTTTAAAGATGAAAGTTTGAAAATTCATACATGTGAATATTAGTGATGCACCAGTGGTTTTGTGAGAGGTTCTAAGACAAGATGCAATTTGAAATTATGCAGCTTAATTGCCGAAAAATATAAAAAAAGGAAATCTCAACTATTTGATTGGACCCTGTACAATGTCATTAAAGGTGCACTGCGCAACTTTTCTGTTGGAGGGTCCACTACTAGAGGTCTGCGTGGGAGTGAATTTTCAGTCCCGCCCACACCCACACTGTGCAGTCTTGCTCCAGCCCACTCTGGCCCACTCCTGCCCGCTCCTGCAAAGAATTGTCATTTTTCGTTCCTGCTCCTGCTCCGCACCTGCTCCCTCTCACAAATCCTGCAAGATGGGATGGGAACATTCGCTTTCTTAAGCTCTATCAAACACGGAGAAGCGGAAAGGAATTGTTTAAAATGTGCATGAGATTAGACCACATATGCAAGTTTAGGCTGCTTAAAATGTTTTTATTAAGGCTAAATAAAATATCTAGCACAAATTATGCATGATAGGCATACATTCATCATTTGTATATTTTACTTTACACTCATTTAGATTGCGGGACAGTAGTTTATAATCCCACCCGCTTGCTCCCATGTTGTGTAGTCCCGCTCCCACCTGCGCCCGCAATGACCTTTCAAAATGTGTCCTGCGCCGCACTGTTTTGCGTCGGGTCCCGCGGGTGCAGGGCTCTATCCACTACCTACTTGTTTCCATGGACAGCTTATTGCTTTACCTGGAGCGTACATATCCATCTAACATATAATCATTTCTGGAGTATCTATTGCTTAAAAATACAATTATTCCTTATGTGAATTGGTATCGACTCTCCACAGATCTGAACTGTAGTGTAGCTTAGTGCTGTAACACACAAAGTTACCCATCAACGGAAAAATACATGTAGTGCCAATATAAACCATTTTTTCAGACACAAGTTGTTTTTAATGCAAGTCACACGGATCGTCATATTCCATCACTGTGATTAAACTGCTATTTAATTAAAAGCAGTAACAGAATGAATTGCATAAAAGAAAACAGAGTAAAAGAGACAAAAACATGGACACTCATGGGCGGACTCCCTTGTATGAACCACATTCTACTACGAAGGCTAAGCTGAATGCTATAAACGTGGCCCCTAGTGTCTTTGCATGTGCGTAGATCTTCAATGAACATCATAAATTATTCTCTCTGCTGCCCCCTTTAGTAATTGACATGCCGTACAGGATCACGCCGCCCTACAGGGAACACATACTAACCCTTAGCACCACATAATTACATTCAAATTGCATTATGATCTGTTCTTTTATTTATGTCTAACACTTGCCTGCAATAAAGGCAGTATTAATTCTAAGGGGCAGCTGCATAATTAATAACATAAATACTATGCATCATGTAATTAATACACAATGGGGCATGTCACAATACATTATTTAAAATTAATTTATCAGCATGTGGCAAGCAGCAGTCTCCTCTACAGTAATCCTAGACTTTATTATTACTCATAATCTGAATGGCTTTAATAAAACAGGTGTCAGCTTTGATACGCCTTAACTTTCTATTTAATATTTAGAAGGATGTGTCCTTCTTGATTCTACTCTGTTGGGCTCTGCTGGGATGTTCTTTCTGGATTTAGTTTTGGAATAAATAAATAAAATGATTATGTTAATGACAAAACAGATAACAAATACTGATCGAGAATACTTAATGACAAATTATTTCTTCATCATGGCAAGAGGAGGATGGTGGTGTGGTGGTGCAGTGGTTTGAGCATTCGCCTGGAAACTGTAGGGAAGCTAAATAGTGAAATAAACCTTGACCAGTGAAAATATATGCAATTATTTTAGTCTGTGTACAATTTATACTACTGCGACTACACTAAAACTACTCAGGAAACTCAGTAATGGTCCAAATATGAACAAATGAGCACATTTTGATACTAGTATAAGTTTCAGTTTTCAGTTTGTATCTTGTGTGTATAGATTTTTTCTAAAACCCTAATATGGCTCATATAACTTTTAAGCATTTCAAGGTGTCAACATTTGTTCCATTCTTTTTTAATACAGATAATAGACTGGACTCATTCAATAAAAAGTTCAAATTGGATTACTCTTTTCAGATCATCACAGGTGCAGGGCTTGAGGTGTATGTCAGTGCAACAAACTGCAAGGTGGATCTGCTTATCTGCCAGTGCACAGTTCCCTTTTATTGGACAGATCTATTGAAACACACAAACTCAGAACCTTTCCAGTGTATGAGATGGTGTTGGTGCCATTATAAATCTCTTAGTTCAAGGCCTACCTGCACTCACACACACACACACACACACACAATACTAATTGAACCAGTGACATTTCACAAAGTGGGCGAGATAAAGACATTAACAGAATGAAGTACAATTACTGCACAATAGCCCTGTGTAGCTCAGTATGTAGAGTGTGCCACAAACATTTGGCAGTTGAGTCGCTGGGGTCCGACTGGGATTTCTCTGAGTCTCCAGCAGCTTGGCAAACAAAGCACAAAGATGTGTGCGCTGAATGGAAGCACCAAGGACAAGCGTTCACTTCTAATTCATTTTACAATAATTATCTCTGACACTGGGGTTATCTCTTCCACTTGTATTGTCAGTAGTCCAGGGAGTTTCATTATTTAGGCCACCTTAGTAATGAGCAAATGGTAGATAGATTTGATTTTAACACAGTCTGAATGAGTTAAATATGTGTTTGTGTGTATGTACTTGTTCATGTGAAATGGCACTTAAGATGATAGTAATTTAATCTAAATGTATACCATCAAGGTGATAAAATACAATTTCCTGTCATGTAGGGGACGTACATAAAATGTGTATTAAAATGGTGGATTTTTTATTTATTTATTGTAAATGGCAATGATCACATTTTTATATAGTGGTTTTCCACCTTCAAG